TTTGCCTATATTACGGGTGGTCGATTTAAGTAGTTTGGAGATCACTTTATCCATGCCGTTTGGTAACAGGGGGTGATTTAAGCGACGCCAACCAAGTACCGATAAAGAGAAGGTAGGATGAAATAACTAGTGAGACTTGCACTTGTCTAGAGTACGCTTTGTACATTTGGTTCTTCAGACACTTCCACACAACCCGAGTGCGGATACACGTGTGATTTTCGTTTTGTCGGTGTGCGGAAGCCTTTTCGCCAATTGCGGACTGCTGTCGTCATATCGACCTTCCTCCTCTGTTCCAGTCATTTCGATGGAGGCCCGTCCCGGTCCGGGGTAAGCGTTCAGTGATAGGCAAATGCTAACTCACCGCTTACTTGTCAGATCGCGCTTATAACTTTCTATGCGATCATTACTAGCCAATTTGCGGCCGTAGTCTAGCCCCACATCAATTCATTTTTTAAGAAGTTTTCCAATTTCCGAATAATTTTGGACCCGACCTGCCGTTACACTTTCATTCAGGGTTTCCAAACTACCAGCCGTATATTTTTCGCGTACAGAAAACCATAAATTTCTTTACGGTATTAAGAGGAGACTATATGGGGTTCATAAAATTTGACAGCGAATTTGAGCCATATTGTTGACTTCATAAGTCACATTGGTAAATGCAGAGATAGGACGTTTTATGAACGGCCATTTCACGGTATTAAAAAACCTCACAATTTGAAACTTTCTTAAAACCGAATTATAGCCTTCTTTCGAGTATCAAATTGACAAATATCGTAATTTTCTACCGAGTGAGAAAAAGAATGAATATTCTTATGCATGCTTTCCACCAAATATAATTGAATTTTTAAGGGCATCGAAAATCAATGAAACAAATGCATGCTACCCAAGTAGTCATTTTTTTCAGAGTATAGTTTTTGCATGTAGCCGGAAAGAAGTTCGTTCGAAAACTGATATCCTGTTGTAACTGGATTATTATAGACTTATGCTACATGATGACTAGTTTTACATCCCTACTTAATTAATCCTTTCGAAGCGGAAACACATTTCGGAATTTCGGTTGACACTTCACGAGTTAGCGCACCTACTGTAATCCCTGACTGAGTGTCTCAGAGGCGATATACGAGAATCCCAAATGCAAGCGATGGTTGGGAGTAGACAAAGGAATTGTTGAAACGCGTGAGCTAGTGCATGAAATAGTACGTGATAAACATTTAGAATAGAAGAATGTCCTGGGGCGAACCCGTTTGTAGGACTTGATACCAACGTGGAGACCAAACGTTGGTGGCGGTATGGACGTTAGCAATCGCTAGTATCTGTCGCCGATAGTCGCCGTTGTGATATCTGGCGTCCTTGTCTGAGGCCCTGCCGTCGCAGCGAGAGGTTCCAGACCCACTGACCCACAGCCACTCGACCGACTTTCGCACAGAATACGACACAAACCCCTAGACATGCCAACACCACCACTTGACGAATGCAACCCACGCCAGTTGGATAACATATGAGCTTGCTCCAAAAGCCCATTTAAGCAGTACAGTCACTTCTCTCGCTCTCTCACTCTAGCACGACCTAACACCGTCAGCACATGCGCTAGCCTCGCCAACGCCCACTGCCGCCTGAGAGGGCATCTCCGTGTTCTGCACACAATAGATCCCTCATCCTCGCGACTTCCGTCTTCTAAAACTCGGGATTCGGTCTGACAATTGCAGCGCTCCGAGTATTCTCACTGCTCAGAGACGCTGTATCGCTGCAGGCCAGGCCGAGAGAAAGACCCTGATTATCCCGACCTTTGGGCCTCGTCCCGAATGGGCAGAGTGAAAAAAATTGCTTTGCTTTGAAGTATAGATTCAGAATTTTAGTAAAAAATGACTTAATTCACTGCGGACAGAAAGCAAAAACCTACTCAAGAGTTAAACAGGTTTACACAGAAAGACACGACTACTATGGGGACAGTTCAAGCCTTAGCTTCTGTATTTCTATCTCTTTACACGTAAGATAGCGAGACAAAAATGGCAATACAGAATGCCGATGTGCGACAAGAGATGAGTTGAAAACCACGGCGCATGGGGCGGGCAGACTTCGCAGAAATAAGATCAGAATGCGGGGGATGGGCGTCATCCGGAATTCGACCAACAACTCGCCTGAGCGTTCTGAAATGTCGTTGCATGATAGTTTCGGCTAAAAAGACATAAGAAACGCGGCGGCAGAAGAGAGCTTTCGGGGGACCTGTTTTAAATTAACATCTTTTTTTGAGAATGACAGGAAAATGACAGGAGGTGAATAAAGAGTAATAGAAAGAATGCAGGCATCTATGAATCGTCAGATTACGGATGGAGGTGTGTGGTAGGAGCGTAAACGACGAATGCAATAATGAAGTTCACAAACTTTAGTGAAAGGGTTCTCGATATGGAGGGAAAAAGAAAGATGAAATGGCCAAGTAACACCAACGGACTTGAAAGACGATGCATCAATGGGAAAAATGTCCAAAGATTCAGGACTAGGAGAGGGTCGAAGTCGGAAAATACACAGGACTGATTTTTGATTATTTAGTACAAGACCATTTTCCTGCGACCATACTGAGACATGCTCAAGGCCATCCTTCAGAAACTGGAGAGGTGTCCGATTTTTGAGAGGATGGCCAACAACCACGTCGTCAGCATATTTAACCAATAGACAGTCCTGCAGTCATTTGGGGATCTTAGATCACCAATGTTGAGGAAGAAGGGGAAAATGGAACCTTGAAGAACTCCATAGTCATTGGGAGGGACCGTGGATTTCCGTTAACTGAAATGCACAAGTTGAGTGCGGAAAGTAGAGCAATCGTCGAGCCAAGAGACAGCCCAGCCTGGAGAGCCGCACGCAGATGCCTTGACAAGGAGATGGCGCGGGACGGTATTGAGGGCGGAGGAGTAGTCAAGACAGGCACAGGCGTACTGACGGCAACCCTTACATAATTCTCGTAGGGCAGAATTGACCGTAAGAGC